AACAAAAATTTTAAGTATTATTTGATATGTCAAAGCAGAAGGTTCAGGACCTGAAGATTGCATCCTTCTAAAGATGGCTTCAGCATTATTGTAACCAATCTTACCACGTTGTGATGAGCTGTGTGAGGTTGGCTAGCTACGAGTAGCAGCCATAGTCACTAGCGGCTCGTCAAAGTGAGACAGCCTCTCTAATCACCTCGAGTTTCCCCACTGGGTGGTGGAACCCTCATGCCTCCTGCATGAGCACTAAGCTCGCTCGTGTTGCTTGTCCAGTCCACTGGCCATTTCTTCTACACAAATAAAAGCAATAAGATTCATGTCGGTATGATTCTTTTTATTTTTAAATAAACATATACGTGGGATGTAGAAGTACGCCACGTCCACAAACCCAAATGCTTTTAGTTGTGAAGGGGTAACCAGGGCATCCAGATCCATTGTTCCTCTTCATTTATATGGCGTAGAATCCTATTTTTTATTTCAAGTCTATGGATCCAATGATTAGGTAGTTCATGTATGAGCTCAAAGAGTGCCACTCAGAAAGACAAGTAGTGAGCTCATTATCAACCCGTTTCGTTTTTGTATCTTCGACAAAAATGTACTGCCTCTTCCAAGCTGCCACTTTATTCTTCACGTTGTGGAATATAATCATCTTGGCTCAGCTTGAAATGTAAAACCACATAGGTTTCTTATTCACCAGCTTGCATTGAAAAGAGATTGGAACACCGTCAACTTTGTAGGAATTTGTAGGTTTGCACATGACAACATAAACCCTCTGATAAATTTTATCAAGTTTGGAGTTAGCTGTGTCAGTGCCAAACCATACTCTGCCAGCATGTCAAAAAGGATCTTTGGCATAGGGAATTGCAAGTCAGCTGCAAAATCATATAAACACAAGGACATCCAGCCATTCGCAGCCACTAAGCACCCCCGTTCATTTGCTGAGGCAGCTTAAACAAGTACAATATAAGGAATTTGGTATTCCCTCACCACTGAACCCAGTTATTTCAGCCCTTGGATGGTGGCTTTACCATTTGCCACCTTGTGGTGTAGGGCAGCCTTAAACTTGAACACAGCTACCAAATTCGTCAATGTTTTTCTCGAATATTGCTAGCCAAATCGGCGTGCAGAGGCACTTTTTCCCATTCTTCCAAGGCATATGTGACCTCCACTTCTGTCGTTACGTCAATGGTTATGGGTTCTTCTTTTCTTTATCTCCTTCTTCCCTAATAATTCCCATTTTGCTAGATGAAGAACTAGGGCTACTCTCAGGCTCCAACACTACATCAATATCAGGCCTGTCTTGTAAGTCTGGCAGCACTACCATAATGATGGGTGACACAACCATTACCTTTTCTTCTGCATCTCCAGGTTACCCTGAATTTCTTGCAACTCTCTAAAAAATTTCATAATTACTTATGTTTTCACGAATGAGATAGCTATTGAGTAGATGATTGTTCATGCTTCTCTGGTTCTTTAAACGTTAGTGACTTTCGCAAAATCACAGATGAAAATAACAAAGACAAGACAAATGAAGAGCCAAAGTAAACTGAAATGGTTAAATGTCTGGTACAGCACTTTCTATTTCCCATTCCTTACCAAGTTATGTGTTTCTTGGTTGCCGTACCCACGCCTCCATAAGGACCAATAAAAGTGCCTTATGTGGCAATTTCTCATAACTCCCTTAGAATGTTGTGTTAGCATTTATAAAAGGGGGAGGGATAAATGAATCAGATCTTAAAATATTTCCTGAGATACGATTAAACCTCAACATATCTCTTGAGATATGTTTTCAAATTTTAAAACTCTTAAGATATACTTTCAAATTTTTGTTGCCATTGGATTAGCTCAAAAGATATCCTGAGATACACTCTCAAATTTCAACAATTTTTGTTGGGCGAGCTCGTAAGAACGCCTGTATGTAAACTTGTAATTTCTCCCAGGAAATTGAAAAAGATATTTTCTCAAATCTCCTAAGTTTTCTTCGAGCGAGCTTTTTGGTCTTTTAGTGAATAAGCTCATCAAATTTTAGTCAAACACTTACATTCGAATGAGTTTCTGCACTCTTTCAATGGTTACTCACCAAGGTTGAGCTCGTAAGATTTTTTTGATGAGCTAACCATATCAACTCGCAACCTACTGTATATCTCATTGAGACCAGCTCATCAAAGCCAATATTTTGCCATGTTACTGTTACAGTGTTTTGTTAATTGAACACTAAGAAAGGAGTAATGTTGGGAGAGTTGGCCCAACATTAGCCCAAAGAGCCCATGCGAAGCCCAAGGATGCAAACCAAGTAATCATAATACACTCACATAACTTGGGACAAGTGGGGAAATGACACATGGCATTGGTATCATAACAAAAGCTACAAATACCTATATTTATGTCTATGTAAGATAATAATTACATTATGCTTTTTTCTCTTTGTAATATTTTAGTCTTGAGAGCTTTTTATTATAGAATATCAAATATTATTAACTTGAACATTACAGTGTCTTCTCCAAATATTTCAATCTCCAGAGCTTCTTTCTAAATTATTGAATATTATTAAATTGGTATTTACCTCAAAGACACTTCTCTAAGATTTTTCAAGGACTGAAGTAATTTAAAACCTTAATAGTATGTGAGTTGGTGAAGCTACCAAAACAAATATAAAAAATACAAAAAAAGTGAAGAATAACCCTGCAAAAAGGACCAGTTAAATAAAAAACACGTGGCCTAACTCCACCCGAAACATATAAAGGTGAAAAAAAAAAAAAAATTCATAACAAGCGTTCTAGAATTCTCTCTGAAGCGTGAGTTTCTGTTGGTGTATGCAAGTGCGCGAGGCGATTAAGATTTTCTCCTCCTCTCAGGAGACTGATCTCCTTGGTAGGAGTGTTAAGAAGATTAAAGGGGCCGAGTCTGTGCACTCCCTAGGCGAGGCCCCAATGATGGAGGCCAATGTTCAACCGAGGGAGGCAACTTCCGTTCCGGAGGAGGGTACTGTCAATGTTACTATGGTGGATGTAGCTCACACCGGCATCAAAGGGGAAACCCAGCATGACACTAATATGTTAGACGGTGATGGTCACCAAGAAACTATAGGACCCATGTCTTATAAAGACAAACTTAGAGGATCGGAAAACCCTGTCGCTATTTCCTTCTCTACTATCCCTGCTTATATGGACGAAGACTCAGACGTGGATGATGATCCAAATGATGATTCCCCTGTTGTTCTTTTATCGAAGGAGGAAAAACAGAGAATTAGAGCTCCATGGATGAATGCTTTAATCGTTAAAGCTTTCCATCACTAACCTTTGGGATATAATTTCATTTTTCCTAGGTTAAAAGCTCAGTGGAAACCCACTGGACACTGGGATTTCATCGATCTTGGACTTGACTTCTTCCTTGTTCGTTTTCAGGTTGAAGAAGATCTACATCGACTTATCTTCGGTGGGCCATGGTTTGTTGGACCCTATTTCATGACTTTGCGCAGGTGGGAACCTCATTTTGTCCCTTCAGAGGCTCTTCAATCTTTCACCACGATAGCGGTGTGGGCTCAGTTGCCAAATCTATCTGCGGATTATTACGATCCCTCCACTCTACAAAAAATTGGCAACAAAGTTGGAAATCTCCTACGAGTGGATGCTCATACAGCCCACCATACAAGGGGGCAATATGTTCGAATTGGTAGACACAGACAAAAAGTATTGTACGAGGGAGTTAATGCACTCTGTTTTTCTTGTGGACGCATTGGCCATCCGAATTCCCAGTGTACTAAAAAATGTTCCTCACCAGCTGGTGTTAATGCTTTTACCCCTCCTTTGACACAATCTGATAACCACATTGCTAAGGAAGGGCAACTTTTCAGATCTGAACCAAGCTCTACTAGCCTTGAATCTCCAAGCACAAGTGATTTACAACAAGAATGTGCTAATTCAGACAAGAGGCTAATTGAGCAGGATGAATTTTGTCCGTGGTTGTTGGTTGAGCGACGCCGATCTAGGAGAAGATCAAACCAAACACAGGTACAATCGGAAAAGTCACCTCCAGCAAGGAATGAGATTCGCGGGTCGGGTTTGAACATTCGGCGTAGTGAGACTAAACAACAATCGGGTCCAACGGCCTCTTCACCCAATGGTTCCAATGGTGGTTCATTAAATGCTGATAAGATTGGTACAGGCTCTCCTTCAATGGTCGCTAAAAGCCTACCCGTGAATAGTAATTATGAGCACAAAGCCAATTTGAAAAATCAAACACGTGGTGGTGGTGTAGGCTTACAATATGTTAGAAAAGGGACAACAAATAGATGGAATGCTAAATCTGGGTCGAACTCTAAAGTGTCTATTCAGTCCAACTTAATGAACAAAGGCCCATCAGCTCCTCTGAACTGCTCTTCAAATGTGCCTGTGGTGGATAAGCCCACCTGTATAAATGATCCGTATGAGGAATCTATGTGCTTGGTTAATAAGGCCCACTTGCCTTCTTCCAACATATCCACAGGGTTGATGACGGAGGCCCCTCCATCTTCTGTTTCTCATTCCCCATTGGCCCCCCTTCTTCCTCCTCCCACCCCGCCCACCAGTGCTGATCTTACACATGGAACATCGATTCCTCCAGCTGGACCACAACCTCGAGGCTTTCTTGACATACAATGGAAGCTTCCTCCAACTGGAGTCAGCGTGGAACCAGATTCTTCCAACCCCACCACCGTTTCCGTGCTCTTGGAACGACTTTCAAATAACCCGAGCCTGGAGACGACCAATTCTTCTTCCCAAGGGCCTAAACCCCCGTCTGGTACTACCGTTTCTTCCACCACAACCCACAGTAGTTGCAAAGAACTGGGATCATTGCTCCGTGTGGGATCTAATTTGCAACGCAAGCGAAGAACCAATCGGAAGGATGGTCACCCCTATCAGGCCCCTGCAGTTAACTTGCCCAACAATGTGGAAACATTGCTACTGTATCCAACTCAAGGGACAAATGAGGCAAGTCCATCTTCTAGCTCTACTCAGCCGACCACCTCTAGAGACTTGGGAAATGGAGTACAAGTTGTCCCTGATTCCATTCCATTTTCTGGATGCACAGATGGTCACGTCACCGGTGGGGATATGGCCCCTAACTCTGGCCAATAAGCTTGCCTTAGAGACTTTGGGTCTTCTTGATTTATCAATTTGGACCATGAAGATCTTGATCTGGAATTGCCGAGGGGCAGCTAGCGAAAGTTTTAAGCGTCATGTCATGGATTTGAAGGCTACTCACAATCCTTACATGATGTTAATTATAGAAACTAAGGTTGCAGGAGATAGAGCTAAAGCTATTGCTTCTCATATATACCCTAATTATCATGTGGTAGATGCAGATGGCTTTGCTGGTGGTCTTTGGCTGCTTTGGGATGCTTCTCAAATCTCAATTGATATCTTGGCAGATAGTGATCAAGCAATCCATGCCGTTGTTAAGGTATGTAGTCAATCTTCTCTTGCTTCCATTAATTGGATTTTCTCTGGTGTTTATGGCAGGCCACAATTTGAACTTCGGTCTAAGCTCTGGCAAGAGCTTAGGACTTTGTCTCCCTACTTTAAAGGTCCTTGGGTTATTGCGGGGGATTTTAATGAGGTGGTGGATCAATCAGAGAAGTTTGGAGGGGCTCCCATTAACCAACATCGAGTTCAAGCCTTTACCTCCTGCATGAATGATTGTCAAATGCTGGATTTAGGGTTCACTGGAGGGAGGTTTACTTGGGCTAACATGCAATCGGATGGCCATATTATACGTGAACGCCTTGATAGGGTCTGGGGTAATGCAGATTGGAAACTCTATTTTCCGGAGGCTTCTGTCTTTCATCTTCCTCGAGTCCATTCTGATCATAATCCATTACTTCTTGATCTTGAACCCTTCAAGCCTTCTTTTGGCAAACGTCCTTTCCGGCTTGAAAAATTCTGGATGGATCATCCGGAATTTCAAAATTTGGTTCAGGATTGTTGGGGAATTGAGGATAATAATACTAGTCAATGCCTTGAGACTATGATGAAGAAAGCCAAATTATGGAGTCGTACCACATTTGGCAGCCTTTTTAAGAGGAAGAAGCAAATTCTTGCTCGTTTGGAGGGCATTCATAGGTTTTTATCTACGAAGCATTGTTCTTTCCTTACTTCCTTAGAGAAGGATCTTGTAAATGAATACTCTAAAATTCTTAAATTGGAAGAAGATCTTTGGTTTATGAAGTCTAGAACTAATTGGATCCTTGATGGGGATAGAAACTCTAGATTTTTTCATGTTACCACCTTGAAACATAGATCTCATAACAAGATCTTGGGTCTGAAAGACGCTGTTGGAGTTTGGACCTATGAGCCAAGTGAGATTAGCAACATTTGTAGAAGCTACTTTCTTGACCTGTTTTCGTCTTCGCTCATGCATTCCTTCTCCAATTCTTACCAGTTGGCTAATCTCACTCCTAATCATCATCCTATTGATTCGCATCACCTTGCTGATCTACCAACTGAGGTTGAGATTCGATTGGCTATTTCCTCCTTTAAACCTTTTAAGGCCCCTGGGCCTGATGGGGTTCATCCCTTTTTCTATCAAAGGTTCTGGCAAGATATTAGATCTAAGTTATGTTCGGATATCATTGGCGCCTTCTCCTCTGGTGCTATCCCGATGGGATGGAATAATTGTCTTATCTCTTTTATCCCTAAAGGAAAGGCCCCTAGTTCTATTACTCAATTCCGACCTATTGGGTTGTGTAATACCTCCTATAAAGTTATCTCGAAGATCCTGGTGAATAGGCTTAGACCTATTCTTGATTCCTTGATATCGCCTTGCCAAGCTAGCTTCATTCCTGGACGTCGTGGCTCTGATAATGTCATTATTCTTCAAGAGCTTGTTTACTCTTTCTCTAAGAAAACAGGCAAAGTGGGTGATCTCATCTTTAAGATTGACTTAGAGAAAGCCTATGATTGCCTTGAGTGGAGCTTTATCCGGGAGACTCTACTATTTTTTCAATTTCCTCCCAAAATTATTGATTTAATCATGTCTGCCATTTGTACATCTTCTGTTTCTGTGCTTCTTAATGGTGACAGAACTGAACCCTTTTCTCCTTCTAGAGGCATTCGTCAAGGGGATCCACTCTCGCCATATATTTTTATCCCGTGTATGGAATTCCTCGCGCTAACCATTACTAAGGCTTCCTCCCTTGGCTACTGGAAAGGGTGTAAAGCTGGAAGGGGAGGCCCCTTGCTTTCCCACCTCTTCTTTGCTGACGACCTCTTGTTTATTGGGAAAGCTACCAAAAATAACTGTCTCTTCCTTAAGTCTGTTCTGGAGTTTTTTTCAAGTAGATCTGGACTTAAGATCAACCCTCTTAAGTCTTATGTTTTCTTCTCAAAAAATACCCCTTTAACTGTGCGGGAAGAAATTTGTAGTGTTATGGGTTTTTTGCAAAAAGATTCCCTTGGAAAGTATCTAGGCATCCCGATATCATCCAAAAGGCCTTGCAAGCAAGATTATGTCTTCATTTTGGATAAAGTTCGTGCTAAGCTTGAAGGATGGAAGGTTAGGTTTTTCTCTTTAGCTGGTAGAATTACTCTCATTAATTTTGTTATGGCTTCCATTCCTCTCTTTTATATGCAGTCTACCATGCTTCCTGCTTCTATTCTTTCGGAGTTGGATAAGATATCGAGGGACTTTCTTTGGGGGTCTAATCCGGACCATCGCAAACTGCATTTGATTAGTTGGGATAAGGTATCTGTCCCAAAATCTTTAGGGGGCTTAGGAATTAAAAGTGCTAAGGAAACAAATCTGGCTGCCATGGCAAAGCTCAATTGGAGATTTTTCTCTGAGAAGGATAAGCTCTGGAATTCTGTTCTTATTAGGAAATATAATATTAACTCTCATCCATCTATCTTGCCTACTTACAGCTCTCCTGTCATGAGGAACCTCAAGAAAGGTAATGAACTCTTCCTATAGGGTATCAAATGGATTCCGATGGATGGTAATAGTATATCATTTTGGAAAGACTGTTGGCTCTTTAATACTCCTCTCAACTCTATTCTGGTTGGACCTTTGTCGAGGAGTGATGAGGACCTACGGGTGGCAGATGTATTCTCCTGTGTTGACTTTAACTCCTCCCTTATATCCTACCCTCTTCCTGACACTATTCTAGAAACTATTAAAGCCAACCCCATTTCAAAAATAGGGCTTGGCAATGATTCGTACTCATGGAAAAGGTCTTGTGATGGGTCCTTTTCCATGAAAGTTGCTTATCTTATGGCGAAAGGTGTGAATCCTAACCCTGTTATGAATTGGAATTGGATTTGGAAGATTCATACTCTACCTAAAATTCAATGTTTCATTTGGCTGTTATGTTATGAACGCCTAAAAACTCTTGATCTTCTCTCTAGATTGGGCATTGTGGAATCTAATGTGTGTCCCATGTGTCTTGTGGCTAAGGAAACTTGTGATCATCTCTGTAGAGAATGTCCTTCCTCTTCATTTATCTGGCATACTTTTTTTCCTCAAGGAACAGTTGGCCCTAGCAATTCCTTATTCCAGTGGATCAAAGATAACTGTTTGAGCAAGAATATGTGTCCTACTATCCCAATCCCCTGGGGAACGGTCTTTAGCTTTATTCTTTGGAGTAATTGGCTGCAAAGGAACAATAAACTTTATTCCTCTGATGTCTTTGAACCGAATTATATTATCTCTATTATTCGGGATAAAGTTTATGAATTTTACTCAGCTTCACCCTTGCCTTCTCCTAAGAATACTCAAAAGGAATCTAGACTAGTTTGTTGGGAGAAACCTCCTGAGGGATACTGTAAACTAAACACCGACGGGTCAGCTCATGGAAACCCAGGTCCTGCCTCTGCTGGTGGAGTCATTAGAGATCATCTGGGTAGATGGATTGTTGGATTTGCCTGCAAGATTGGTTATGCCTCTTGCTTGCGTGCTGAACTCTAGGGGATTAGAGAGGGACTTCTCTTGGTTTATCAGAGGAATATCCAGAACTTAATTGTTGAAGTTGACTCTTTTGTTGCAACTCAGTTATTATCTTGTTGCGTTTCACCTCATCATCCTCTTTACTCCCTTATTTTGGATTGCAGGGAGATCTTGTCTAGAATCCCCCGGTCTCGTATCCAACATGCGTACAGAGAAGCTAATCAGTGCGCTGATGCTCTGACTGTAGTGGCTCATTCACTTCCTGTGGATTTTGTTTCTTTTGATTGCTGTCCTCCGGGACTTCTTTTGTACTATGAAGCTGACATGAGGGGAACTTGTTTTCCCAGGACTTAGTGTATTATGTATTGTTTTTAATGCAATTCTCTCTCTTTTACCAAAAAAAAAGAAATTAATGGAAAGAAAAAGTGAGAAGAAAGAAATGTACTGCGTAAAGAACTGCATACCAGATGTCAAAAAATAATAAATAAATTTAGGGAGAG